ATGCTCTCTTCTTCCATAAGGATTGGGAAACTATAGGGCCTACGATTACAACAAAATTACACTCGTTCTTAAAAAATAGCCAAATCACAGAAAGTCTCGACCAAACACTACTAGCACTTATTCCCAAGACAGAGACACCCAAGAATCTGATGGAATTCAGGCCTATAAGTCTATGTAAGGTTCTATATAAGATTCTTTCAAAGGTCTTAGCAAATTTGATTAAAAATGATTTTGAAGGAGGTTATCACGTAGAACCAAAGTGCTTTTGTTGGTGGCAGGTATATAACAGACAATGTTATGGTGGCTTTTGAATGTTTTAATGCTATGAAAAATAGGAGAGTTGGAAAGAAGGGTTTTGTAACTGCCAAACTTGATATAACAAGATTAAGACAGGGTGGATAGGGATTATCTAGATAAATTCATGTTGAAATTGGGGTTTGAAGCCAAATGTGTTAGCCTGATCAAGCAGTGTGTTAAAACAGTATCCTACTCGGTTCTAATCAATGGTCACAGATATGAGGTTTTCTATCTTACCAGAGGACTAAGACAGGGAGACCCCATTTACCCATACCTTTTTTCTTATGTGTGCCGAGGGACTATAAACCTTAACAAGCAAGACAGTGGAGGAAGGAAAGCTAAAAGGAATTCAAGCGAGTAAGAATGAACCTATTATCTCACACCTCTTTTTTTGTGTGTGTAAATGATAACATCTTCTTTTTCGAAAATAAAAAGGATCAATGTGAAGTTCCGAGGCATATTCTTAAGCAGTATGAAGAGGAATCAGATAAGCAAGTTAGTCTCCATAAATCTGAACTATCTTTAATGGATGATGAGCAAAGATAAGCAAAGATAGATCTTTTGGGAATGAAACAAGTTATGTACCATGACAAGTACTTGGGACGCCATACTATCATAGGAAGATCAAAGAAGGCTACATTCACAAAACTCATAGATAAAGTTTGAAAGAAAATGAAGATGTGGAAAAGCAAAACCTTATCTAATGAAACCAATGAGGTGTTAATTAAAACAATAGCTCAAGCTCAAAATAAGTATGTTATGTCTGTCTTTCTTATACCTCAAGGTGTGATCCAGGAATTACAGAGTTTAATAGTAGGTTTCTTGTGCGGCAAAAAGAAAGAAGAAAGGAGGATCCACTAGATGAGTTGGAAGAGGCTAAGCCAACCGAAAAGTGAAGGTGGGATGGGGTTAAGATATTTCATGGCTTTAATATTGCCTTGCCATGTAGACATGTTTTAAATATTACAAAAAATCCTAACTCCTTGGTAGGAAAGACCTCAAAGCGAGATATAATCCTAAGTGTGACATATTGGAAGCTAAATTAGGAAACAATCCGAGCTACATCTGGCGCAACCTTATGACTGCTCAATCGCTAATGAAAGAAGGAATAAGGTGGAGAATAGGAAAGGGTGATCAAGTTAGAGTCTGGTGGGATAAATTGGTGCCAAACAGTTCAAATTTCACGATTGAATCTCCACTCTCCAATTTGAGGTTACAAGTGAGGGTTTCTGATCTCATTGAGCCGTCAGACATGAATTGGAAAAGCAACATATTGCAGTCAAATTTCCATCCTATTGGCATAGGAATGATTGCTCAGATTCCTTTATCTATAAGACAACGACACGACGTCTAAGTTTGGGGGCGAGATAGACTAGGAAAGTACATTGTGAAGTCAGGTTACCATGAATGGAGAAAAAAGAGACAAGAAGAGACATGCAAAACATATATCCATGTGGACTGGAAGAGGATGTGATACCATCAACACCGAAAGTTAGCAACATCCTCCCAACTAGAGGTAACCTAACTAGAGGTAACCTAACTAAAAGGATAAGAGAGGCAACTGATGAATCTCCATTATGTGGATTACGAGAAATTTAGGAACATATCCTTAGGGATTGTGATTGGGCAGGAAGGATATGAAGACCTAGTTTTCTGGGTAGCCTATTCTCAATGGGGGAAGAGAAATCCAGTGACGAGTGGCTCTTTGGAATGATTGAAAAAGTTTTGGATGAAGAATTATGTTTATGTGGAAAGAACGAAAAAATCATTTATTCAACAATAATAAGCTAGAGGAGGAGGAAGTAATTGAAAGATCACAGCTTTACCTGGAGGAGTAGTTGTCAACAAAGTGAGACCCATGGAAGAGGACTCCGACAGGTGACGACATGGGAGAAACCGAAGAGGGGAGTCTTGAAACTCAATGTTGGTGCGACAAAGGTGAAGGTGGGCGAGATAGGTTTGGGGATGGTGATAAGAGACGAGAAAGGGAGGTTTGTGTTGTCAGCGGTGAAAATAACGAGGGTTGTCTAGGAGTTAGAGCTTGTTGAAGCTCGTGCGGTTTTTATGGGCTCTACAGAGTGCTCGAATGCATGCATCGAAGCCGCTTCTGCTGGAATCAAATTGCCAATCCCTAATTCTGAAACCTAACAGGGAGGAGGTGATTGAAAAGGAGTTGAGAATGGTGCTGGATGAAATTCGGGAGCTACTGATTGAGATATAGTAGGTTTGTAAGAAGATTTTGGGCGGAAAGGAGGCAATACAATAGCTAGGGGTGTACATGGGTCGGGTGGTTCAGGTTTGGTCATTTTAAATACCCGACTCATATACTAAGGTTTTGAAAATTTTAAATCGAACCCAACCCAAAAAAAATTAAAACCCTACGGTTTGTTTATAATTAGGCCGGGTCGGGTTGAGGATACTTTATATCAAATATCCAACCTAACACAAAAAAGATAACTATTATACACTACGAAAATATTATATAAATAATTGAGATTTTAAACAAATAAATCGAGGCAAATAGTTTCAATCTGCATAAATATTGTTTGGATTTTACTGAAATGCAATTTACTTCAACATATGTCTAGTCTTTTTCATTAATATTTGTCGAAGTAAGCTAAAGTAGTTATAAGCTAACACATTCATAATATATTGTTTTTCTAAAATTGGACACACAAGAAAAAAGTTTATATGAATCATAACTTAATTAAATCTAAGTCTAAACATTAAGTTGAAGAATGTATAAGACTAGAGAAACCACAAAGAGAAAAATATGATAAGATATCTTAATTTTCTCACAAATATGTTTACTATGACACAAATATGTTTAGTATACGAACACTTATGACAATAGTTCAACACTAATTGGGCCGGGTTCTACGGGTTGCGTTACCCAAAATATGGTCCCAACACAATAAATGTGGGTTATACAAAAGAAAACCTTCACTCAACCTTAAACTTTAATTTTGACAATAAATATGAGTGTGTTGGGTCGGGTTTTCCGGGTGTGTCAGTTTGCGTGTTGTTTTGTTCACCTCTAATAGTAGCTCATGAATGGCTAGGAAAAATTGTAGATGAGAGGTGATAGAGATGTGGGTAGAGAGACCCATTTTCATCATTCAATTTTTTTTTGGTAATGGCTATTTATTAGTCAAACTTTTTTCAGATTTTTTTTATGAGGCAAATTTATTGAATTACTAATAATTAGCCAAATGTTAAATCTTAGTTAGCAATTTTGTTAGTAATATTGACTTGGCCACATAATGACTTGGAAGAGAAAAATGAAGGTCAACATTTCAAAATTTTAGTATTTTAACCAAGAAAAGAGTTACAAAATTATTAACGATAACGTAAAAATAGCTAATATTTTGACGTGTTACAAAACATTTGGTTAATTCTTAGTATTTCAATAGATTTGACTAAAATAAAAGAATTTGAAATTTTTTTGATAATAAATAGACATTATTTTTTTGGTAGAAATCATTCATCTTTTGTTGAAGGACTGTAAGGACAATTTGTCAAGCTAAATAAAATTCCAGATTTCTTATAGAATTTAAAAAAAAAAGTAACTTGAAAGGCAAATGGACATATGAAAAAAGGAAAAAACAAGGCAAAGCAAAGCCGCAAAGGGACGGAATTGCAAGTTAAAAAATGACGCTGTCCTCTCTCTCTCTCTAACGGAACTTTTCTCTGAACCTTCCAACGGTTCTTTTTCTGTCCCCTTGGCTGGGACTCGTCATGCTCTTGCACAGTTAGTCCGAAAGATTTCCACAGCCTTAATCAAAGATCTCCCACAGTGTAAAGAATGGCAAGGGCGGGGAAGAGACAAGTGCAGTCCAATAACAAAGATACGAAAAGAGATAAGACAACTCAAGGGATATGCTGCCAGGGACATAAAGAAAGGTTATGTTTGGAAACCACTAGACTGGAGGAGGTGTATGATCTGGTGTTAGTCCAAGAAGAAGAGGAGAAGGGAGGAAAGGAACAGAAAAGCTAAGAGGCTATTCTATGAACAAAGCATTAATATTCGAGTACAGAGCAGGAAGAATTTCGAGCCAAGAGCCTCTGCCACAACAGGGAAGAAACAGAGCAGGAAAAAGAGTAGGCAGAAGAGAAATAATGAAGGCTTTGAAAGGAATGATTTCTACCGCCATAAAGAGGGAGTTATGGTTCACCGGCCTAGCAAGAGCCATAAAGGAGACAGAGCTACAAGAAGACTTCTTGCTACCAAGAGAATTCACTTCCAAGTTTCCCTCTGGCTCCTATTCTCCACGCTGGCCTCCCCTGCTAAAAACACAAAACAGTTCAAACTTGTTAGCCCTCTTCTGCTCCCAATGGAAACCAATAGCTTGGCACAAAATGAGGGAAGGAATGCTGGTGGAGTCGTCCCGTCATCATCAAGAGGAAGAGGTGGAGGCCCAAACCTAATTTCCACAGGAGGCCGTGGAATCTCCATGCTGCTGGGGAGGATGTTGACTGAAAATAGGGTGGCTTTGGCAAAAGCAGCAGGAGCAGCTCGTTATGCTTGGGGTGGATATGGAGAGGTGAATATTCAACCTACTGATTCTCAGAATCTCTTTATTTTCACTTTCAGGAACCCAGAGATTAGAGAAACAATCAGGAGAGACAGACCATAGAGTTTATCAAACACTCTGACAGCAATAGAGAAGTACAATGGAAGGGGAAAGCCAGAAGAAGTACCTATGGAGAAGCCTGCAAGGTGGGTGAAGATACACGGGATGCACCAAGATCAAAGGAATGAGCAGAACATGGTGGCGATAGGAACCCACTACTTCCCTGGTTTCCTCAATCTCGACAGGGCAAGTCTGGAATTTATGGGCTATAGGAGATTCTTAAGGATTCTGGTGGAGGTGGATCTCAGGGAGTCGATTCCAATAGGGTTCGACTTCCCATTCACAGATGAAAATACAGGGGTGGATTACTGCAATGTAATTGACTTCAAGTACGAAAGGCTTGTGGAGTTGTGCTATTTCTATGGGTGAATAGGCCATAACTGGCCAACATGCAGAAGGATGGATGAGGAGAGGAAGAGGAACGGGGTGGCATATCTGTCGGAGGTGTACAATGCTTCGCTCAAGGCGGGAATCGACTCTCCAAATAGAGCGGGTCAATTCAGAAACAACAGAGAAGGGGAAGGGACACAGAGCTCGCAGATGGGAACAGACAGATTAAGGACAGGTGAATATCACCGGCGGGGAGAAGGGATTGCTGAAGTGGCTGCACAGGGAGGAGGGCTGCAAGAGGAAAGGAATCTTCAAATCCCCCTGGTTTCACCATCAGGAGAATTGACTTGGAGTCTCAAAATAGAGAAGAACATGAGAATCAAGGGAGAATGAGAGGAAGGTACAGACAAGAGATGGGAGCAAGGAATTTGAATTTGGAGATGGAGAGAACTGTTGCGGCAATGGAGGGGAGTCTGCGATTGGAAGAGGGGCGGTTCTTGGGTGGCGTCGGGCAAACAGAAGCGGAGGTGGAGAATGAGGTGGAGACGGGCCTAACCCTAGGGCCGAGGATGGGTGTGGAAATGGCCCAAAGTGTGAGCAATCATGGCCCAATGGCCAGTCTTCTTTATCAACATCAACAGGAGGTTCTTGAGAAGGAGATGGGGCGCGGGCTGAAAAAGAGGAAAGGAATGGGCCAATCAAGCATGGACAGGCCCAGGAGTGAAGTCAATGATGAGGCCGAAATTCCTTTTGGCCCAGCAGAGACAGTTTTCTTGGGAGGGCCTGGAGAAAAAAATAAGAAGAAGAAGAATCAAAAGTTTAGAGCACACTCTACCTACAACTCAAAGGAGGGTCTATCTGAAGGGGAGCAAGGAAGGGATCTGAGGGCAGCTGTGGTTCGCCAGAAGCCACCTCTCCGGGAATGATTATTGTAAGTTGGAATTGTAGGGGATTTGGCCCACCCCTTACAAGAAGTTATGCTAAACGTCTTTGTAGACGATTAGGCCCTTCGATTGTCTTTCTTATGAAAACTAGCAAGAATGAGGCTTTCATGGAAGAACAAGAAGAAGTCTCAAAATTTTCCCCAATCGAGAGTATGTTGAACTGAATGGGGTAATTCGAAAAAAGAAACTTTTAGCTTCCTCATTCAAAGAATGGAAAAGATGGGGGAAGCTTGGAAGAGCCTTCTGTTATCGCACGCAAGGAAAGAAATTATGCTCAAGGCCGTGATACAGGCTATCCCATCATACATCATGTATCTCTTCCACCTCCCGGTGAATCTTACCAAGAAAATGGACTCTCTCCTGGCCAACTTCTTATGGTCGGGGTCAATACATAAAAGTAGCTTGCACTGGTGTAGAAAAGAGGTACTCACTGCTCCGAAATCAGAAGGGGGATTGGCCTTCCGGAGTTTTAAAGATTTCAACATGGCCCTTTTGGCAAAACAGGCTTGGCGTCTCCTATCTTCCCCTGATTCCCTTTGGAGCCGCCTCCTTAAGGGACTCTATTTTCCGTGAGGAGACTTCATGAAAGCGAAGAAGGGAAGTAGAGCCTCTTGGATATGGGCTAGCCTTGGGAGGCCAGAAAAGTCTTGAACTTGGGAGCGATTAAGGTCATTGGTTCGGGAGATGATATATGGGCAGGACAAGACCCATGGATTCCCAATCTTCAAATGTTCACCATTTTAAGTGGGCCCCAACAGCAGATGAAGGTCAAGGATTGGATTGATCAGGAGAATAGATGTTGGAACTCATATTTTTTTCAAGGCCACGTTTCGGAGGCGGAATTAAATGCCATTCTGAGAGTTCCGATTGGGGAGGAAGGAGCTGATGATTTTTGGGCATGGAATCTCACAAAAGAGGGAATGTTCTCGGTTAAGACGGCTTACCACGCTTTTCACAAAGCAAACACAAACTATCAACCGATGGGAAACGCGGACAAATGGAAATGGATGTGGAGTTTGAACCTCCCACCAAAGCTCAAGTTCTTCATATGGAGGTGCTCCATAAATGTGTTGGCAACAAAAGCGAGGATTTTTCATCGGAAATGTGCCCCTAACCCGATTTGTCAGGTTTGCAAAAACCCAAACGAATCCATCTCACACTGCCTCTTTTATTGCCCTCATGCCAGTGAAGCTTGGAGCAACATCTTCCCTTCTCTCCCCCTCCCTCCCCAGGATTCTTCGTTCTTTGATTGGATTTGTGCTTAAGGAGGTCATTTCACATGATTCTCTTATCCATATTGTTTTCCTTTGCTAGAATATATGGAAGGAAAGGAATGAGTGTACGTTCAAGAATAGAGTTCCTTGGCCTCCTAACGTTGGTCTGCAAACTTTTAGAGAACTTTCAGAATGGACTTCATGCCCGAGGCCCCAGTCCCATAATCATGCCTCTCCGGCTAAGCTCAGGGGAACCCATTCCACTACGACTCCCCCACTAAGTAATCATCCTATGGAGATTCACTGTGATGGCTCGTTCATTAGCGACTCCCAGCCGGCGGCTTATGGTGTTGTTGCGGTTAACCACCATGGACAAGTGTGTGATGGGCGAGCTGAGAATCTTCTTTGTTCCACCCCGATTGAAGTGGAAGCAAGGGCTCTCTTAGAAGTTTTAAAATTAGCAAAAGAATATGGATCAGAATGCATTGTCCAATCTTACTGTCAGGTACTGGTGAAAGCTTTGGGTAAAGGTAAATCAAGATGGCAATGGTGCTGTGCAGCATGGATGGGGTCTATGATCAATATCCTCAGGTCAAACCCTACTATTAAAGTCAAGGAGGTACCAAGAGCGATGAATGATAGAGCGGACTGGATTGCACGATCTAAAGCGAGATCTAATCTGCCTGTTGACTAGTGATAGACCATTAATTGCACATGTTTTAACCCCTATTCTTGAGCCGTTTGAGATGTTGATTCTCGTGTTTTAAGCCGATTTCACGCTAGGTTGTGCGTTTATGTCATATTTCAGGACTTAGCGTTGACATCGAGGCAAAGAAACGAGAATCGGGTCGAAAGAAGCACGTTTGGGTTGAAGTGTGCTGAAGGAGCAAAATACCCGGCCATGAGCAGAAATACCCGGCCGGGTATTATATGGAGCAGACCGAGCAAAATATGTTTTGGGCGTCTAAGAAGCAGAAGGGGGCCCGGGCATTAATCATAAATCCCTGGTCGGGTATTCTTGACCCTAATCGGGGATTAATCACCTGTCCCCGACGGTGTGTTTCAACAATCCCCGGTCGCCACCTAAAATACCCGACCGGGTATTCAGACCGGGGATCGCGAACGCAGGCTGCTAAAAGCCTGTTTTGTGCGTTTTTGCGAGGGAGAACTGGGTTTTAGATCCCAAACACCCAAGGGACGAACCAAAGAGAGAGAGGGCGATTTGAGGGCATTCTAAGAGTGGAATTGGAGGATTTCTTCGCCTTGGAAGCTTGAGGAACAAGCCCAGATTCGAAGACTGATCATCTGAAGATTCTTACTGTAGTCTCTCTCTTCTCAATGGAGTAACTTCCCTTCACTTAGGTTTTGAAGAACTCTAGCTATGTTTGTTTGATTGGATGATTGTATGAGTACTCCTACTTGATAATCTTGAGTTCATATTCAATCTATGCACGTTTTCATGATTCAATTCTGCTTTAGTCGAGATTATTGATTATGCTTTGATCTTATGAGAGCGAATAACTGATTAGGTCAATAGAGCACCATAGATTGATAGTATTGGATCGATTGCTTTAGTCGAGGGTTGATTCACTGCTTTGTATCGATTGAGAACCTCATTCGATAGAGGGAGTCTAGTTCAGAACGCCTTGATCGGTTGTTCTAGAGAAGGATACGTCCCTCTAGGCAATCGACTCAAGAGGGCCTTGATCCTTTAGTCGAGATTCAAGGTCTAGTCAAGGATTCTCTGCATTGTGAATGAAAGTGAAACAAGTTAGAAATCATCAATCATTAATCTGGCTAGTGGCTAGGGGGAATCATACCTAAGTGAGTTCCCAACCTATATAATTAGATTATCTTTAACAGTAGTTTGTTAGAGTAGTTTTAGTTGTTCCATCTTAATCTGGTTTGTTAGATAATGAACTGAAGCTGAGTAATAGTAACTCTAGAGACCCGTGGATTCGATATTTATTACTTGAGCCACTATACTGCAGTCCCTTTCATTGGTTACACTTGGCCATTGTTAGGAGTTGTGTCATAGCGAGTCAAGTTTTTGGTGCCGTTGCCGGGGACTTTCTAGATTATTAGGAAAGGCAGAAGTTTGTTATTTTAGCGTTTTTCTTTTCTTTTTCATCCTTGCTTTTCACTTGGGTGTTTTTGTTTTTGTTGGTGCAGATCTGAATCATGGATCCTCATGGCTTCTCCAACCATTGGGGGTATACACCACCATCCGAGTGGTATTTCCCCTAGACTCCCTGGAGCAATCAAGGAGGAGAAGCCTATGGATTCGGGTTCCAGTACCAACCCCCTTACTACGGAGAACAATTAGACCCCTGGGCATATCAAGAACAACCTCATTACCAAGAAGACTTTCTCCCACAACCAGAAGGGCCATCGGAGTTGGAGTTACCCATGGCCGCCTTCACGGGCCATTCTACAGAGCCATGATACACTCCACAGCCAGATCCAAACTATGAATTGAGGCTTCTCATGGATCAGTTTGCTCAAGACAGTGAGAGATCATGGTCCAGGATGGATCTTTGTACCCAGGCCTATCGTGAAACAAAGGAGATCCTCCTCAGCATTAAGAAGAGCGTCGATGATCTTGAGCGATCTTACGCACAACCTGCTCCAGATCTCCCTTCTGCTACCATACTAGAAGAGGAGGAGGAAGAAGAAGGCTACGAAGACATTGTGGAGCACACAGAAGTTGTCACGGAGAGCTCCCGTGATGATCATGATCAGGAATGTCCTGTTGTAGCCAACCACATCTTCCCACATCCCAAACTGAGCTTTGAAGAGGCAGGCATGAGTGAGGAGATGCAAGAAGATCTCATGAAAGAAATTGTTTGGCAACTTGCTCTCCAATCCGTGCTAGAAGAAGAAGAGCGAGAAAGGGTTCATAAAGAAGTTGTGGAGGATGACGAAAGTGAGCTGAAGGAGTTCTTTATCATTTCCCAGGGGTGATACCACAAGAAGAAGAAAGGGGGGTTGAAGAAGCAATTGGCGTCCAGGACGAGTATGGAGTTGAGGTGGAAGAGGCCTGCACTGGCCATGAGTTACATGTGATATCTCCACCAAACTTCGAGGAATTGCTTAGCAAGGACCCATTTGCAGTGTCTCTTTGCTAGACCAAGGCCACGTTGACATCGGTCCCTCTTGGTGGACGCGATGGTGGTCAATCGATGCTGTCATATCTGGTTTGGGGCAATGAGACGAGAGAAGAGAAGAAGAGGTCTCGAGGGTGGAGACTTCATCTGCATCAAGTGCACGAGCTTCCATCACCTGTCATGCCACATGCTCGTGACTTGAGACTCCACCTCATCGATGATAACCTCAACTTCAAGGAGCTTTTGGGGTGGACCGAAACTTAGGAGCCATCGTCCGGCTCACGACGTGAAAGAAGCGCTTGTTGGGAGGCAACCCAACCAGTCGGTTTGCATTTCTTTCTCTATTTCACCTCGGTTGAGTCAGTTTTGTTCTTTGATTTTAGAGTCAATAACTCAGCCTTTGTGAGATTTTGTGTGGTGTTTGTGTTCCAACTACTCTCACCTCCTGGAATGCACCGCCTGCCCCGCCCACCATCATTCACCCTTGATCTGGTAACTTCGTTCTACCCTCCTTATCTTTCCTCCATTGAGGTCAATGTCGTGCTTAAGTATGGGGGGGGGGGGTGTTCGATTATGTATGCGGGTGAATGTTTGGCTGTTTGTGTGCTTGGAGCCAAGTCCACTGTCCAAATTTCGATTTGAGGGCCCCAAGTACGTGTTTCCTTGCAAATTGCCTGCTCAGTATGCTTTGAATTGACAGTCTCTATAGTAATGTGCAACCTAGGGAGGTAGTGTAGCACTATGGAGGATGTTGAAGTATAAGATTTTTCCTATCTAGCTCTCGGCTGTGCCAGTTGATTTTGTGAATTAGTGGAGCTAAGACCGTTGAATTCGTGTGGTAATGGTGACTCTATTTGGATTGTGTTATGGACTCGTGTATCGAACATGGTGCTTATGTGGGTAATGAAAAGAAGTTGGTCCTCCATGTCGAAATCATTGAAATCTTAAAACATGGGGTAAGCCCAACGTGTGCGGCACCGTTCATTGCACAAAATCGGGTTTTGGAAGAGATTTTAGTGATCCATAGTGGGGTACTCCTACAAGGTGAAGCTAAGCTGTTTCTAGTACAAGGAAAACTTCCACCCGTTGAATGGTTTGCCTACTTGAGGATGTGTTTTTAAGGGCACGTATAGAGCTTCCGACCCCCTTAATTTCATTGACCCTCCACACGAGTTGAGGAAAAGGATTTAAAAGAAGTACTCTGGCGAGTGCCAGATGTACAGAAATTACTCTTGCTCGACTAATAAGGGTCGACCGTGCAAAAGACTGCAGTTGGAACCCCGCCAAATGACAGAAAAAAAGAAATGTATATGAAAGTGAGATAAAAGGGTTCCAACGGTGAAATAAAGTGAAAGAGCACCCCGGTACAACGAGTAATACGCCCCTGGGGGGGTGTATGTTTATCAAAGTCACGCAGCAAACGACTCAATCGAAGAATCGATTGAGCTCGAATCAAGAACAACGCGTTCTTAATACAAACTTGGATAAAACGGAACCAAAAGGACAAATCCACACCTGGGGATAGCTCGATTGGTATAAAAGGGTAGTTGCTCGACCACGATTGAAGTGACTATTAAATCGATACACAAGCTCAGCAAGGTTGGAATCACCGCTTGGTTCGTCACATTAATTGTTCCATGCTCGTTGATCCAACTGAGTTGGTAAGGTGCTGGATGCCTTTGTGTCGTCAATCCAAGCTTTTGAACGGCGTATAGGCTGATGATGTTTGAGCAGCAACCTCCATTGATCACGAACGAAATTAACTTGCCTTCGACAAAGCATCGGCTGTGAAATAGATTATCACGCTGCTCATCGGATTCTCGATGCTTAAAAACGACTGTTGGCTGCTCCTCTTGGACACGAATTTTCATCTTCCTTGCCTCTACACTGCTCTCCACCATATTTTGGTGTAGAACCGAAAACTTCAAACACAAACAGCAGCTGCAAAGTACAAACAGGGGCTGCCCTGTTTTGGAACTCGATAAAACGGCTTATACGAAACAGCAGGTTCTTCTTCTCCTTCGCCCTTGTGTAGAACCAGGCTCTGATACCACTTAATACGCCCCTGGGGGGTGTATGTTTATCAAAGTCACGCAGCAAACGACTCAATCGAAGAATCGATTGAGCTCGAATCAAGAACAACGCGTTCTTAATACGAACTTGGATAAAACGGAACCAAAAGGACAAATCCACACCTGGGGATAGCTCGATTGGTATAAAAGGGTAGTTGCTCGACCATGATTGAAGTGACTATTCAATCGATACGCAAGCTCAGCAAGGTTGGAATCCACCAAACCCAAAACAAGTCGCAACTTGCACAAACCAAACGGTTTCTTTTCTATTCAATCAACTCTGAATTTTACAACGAAATAGAACGGTATTTAAAGGCAAATAAAACCTAATACAATCATAATAGAAGTAGAAAACAATTAAGGTAAAATTCTACACTAAAAAGGACATAAAATTCGGGTTTAAACTCTCTTTCTTCAAGTGCAAGTAAGCTGCCAGCAAAACAGTCAAAAGGCAGCTTTCGTACTAACTTCGCGCCTTTCGTTCGAGGCCTTCCCAAATTCCAATCTTTCATCCAATTCCTTCCCTTTGTTCACAAACATACCTAGTTTCATTTTGTGGAAGCCTTTTGACTTGAATCCCATCCATGCGCCTTGAGTTGAGCTCCAAAGTAGGCCTCACAGAACAGTTTTCTGCCTTAGTCATTTTCTGGCAGTTTTCCAGTTTTGAGGTAGCAACTTTGAGGCCTTGGAAAACAACCTTAATGACATCATTTGAATCCATCAAGCATACCATTGGATAGATGGAAACTTTATCTGCAAAACGAATCCTTAAGACTGAATTTCCATCGAGCCAATTGCGAGAACCATGCCTCCAAAGTATGTACCTTGACACTGTTCCAACACTTAACCAAATTCTGCCCTTCTTCTTCCCAACTTTGATAGCTTCTTTGTCAAGTAATTGTGACGTGAATTGTGGGCAATTTGGGATCATATCAGGCCCTCCCTCTTGAAAAAGTGTTGCCCTCAACACTTTAGCATTTCGTTGCTCAAATCGTTCACAGAATTGATCCCAAATTGGATCGAAAGTGGGCTGCTCGAACATCTTTTGCGGCAGAAAATTTACAGATTCAAATCGACCTTCGAGCTCTTCCAACACCTTTGAAGCTTGCAGTGCGGTTGTGAACTCTTCCTGGGCCTGAAAAAACCCTTTATCCCCGATCAATTGCACCTGAAAGGGATCAAAATAGTTAGCTCGTCGTCGGAGCTCTTCTTTGCACACGAACTCCTTTGAACAAATTGGGGTTTTCGAATTGAAGCATTCCCAATCCAATTCATCAACTCCCACGTCCTCTCCAGGCCTCCGATTGAAATTTAGATCCCTTTTCCAGCCTTGATTCATCACCATTCTCGTCGAATCGATGAGTTTCCTCTTCCCGCCGTCGCCGGAATTTGAATATCCGCAACATAGAAAAACCAAGTCGATTTTGGGGGTTTTAATTCCCAGTTGCTTCGAGACGAATTGAAGCTCTCTACAGCTTCCTGGATCCTTCCAAAACGTGTCTGAAACTTCCATTTGGTCCGAATCATCGTCGATTGCTCCACCCACTTCAGTCGTTTCCTTGCCGTTACCGAGCTTTTGTAGAGCAGATTTAGCTAGAATGGGTTCCTTCGATTCAGAAGCATTCGATGGATTCCATTCCAGGGAAAAGCTTCCTGGTCCTCCATAGATGGTTTCGGCACCACTGGTTGGATCTGAACGACTTCCCACTTCTCCACCCAAATCCCCCTCTCTCCTGCTCTGTACCGCCGTTTCCAGAGGTATTTTGGCCTGAATCGAATTCTTCTTTTCAGCTGAATTCGACAACTCTTCTCCCCGAGAATTCGTTCTTGGGATTTCTTGGAAGGTTTCGAATTCAATGGCTGCACTTGAATCATCCCCAGTAGCCATGACGAGATCGTCGTTCTTTACACTCTGTTTTTCTGTAAAATAGCAGTGTGGTGGCAGAGTCGTCGAGGGAGGAGCTTGATCGTCTCCAACCAGCTCTGGAGATTTCTCAAGACTCTTCGTTGTTCCTCCAATGTCCAAGCACACGTTTTTGGCCACATCGTGTACCGGCTTTGCTTCTACGACGTCGGCAGGACTTCTGAAGGCGGAACTCTGTTTCACATCAGAAAAGCAGAGGTCGTTGCTGGCTGTCGTTTCTGGCGTGGGAAATTCCCTCTGGAGCTTTCGAAAGCTCAGGAAATTGAATCCAATACATCTTTTAATCCATAATTGAGCCCGAGGCTCCTTTCCTTCGTTTTGATTCTCCTCTATTTGCTTCTGATCAGTGTAAACGTCGTCTGGAGAAAGAGGTTTCAGCTTGATTTTCCTACCTTTGTATCTGAATGTGTAGGAATTCTCCCAACCATTATGGGTAACCCCTCTGTCGAATTGCCAAGGTCGACCCAGTATTAGGTGAACATAATTCATCGACACAACATCACAAATTACCTCATCTTCGTAGCTGCCGAGTTGAAAACGAACCACCGCTTGGTTCGTCACATTAATTGTTCCATGCTCGTTGATCCAACTGAGTTGGTAAGGTGCTGGATGCCTTTGTGTCGTCAATCCAAGCTTTTGAACGGCGTATAGGCTGATGATGTTTGAGCAGCAACCTCCATTGATCACGAACGAAATTAACTTGCCTTCGACAAAGCATCGGCTGTGAAATAGATTATCACGCTGCTCATCGGATTCTCGATGCTTAAAAACGACTGCTGGCTGCTCCTCTTGGACACGAATTTTCATCTTCCTTGCCTCTACACTGCTCTCCACCATATTTTGGTGTAGAACCGAAAACTTCAAACACAAACAGCAGCTGCAAAGTACAAACAGGGGCTGCCCTGTTTTGGAACTCGATAAAACGGCTTATACGAAACAGCAGGTTCTTCTTCTCCTTCGCCCTTGTGTAGAACTGGGCTCTGATACCACTTAATACGCCCCTGGGGGGTGTATGTTTATCAAAGTCACGCAGCAAACGACTCAATCGAAGAATCGATTGAGCTCGAATCAAGAACAACGCGTTCTTAATACGAACTTGGATAAAACGGAACCAAAAGGACAAATCCACACCTGGGGATAGCTCGATTGGTATAAAAGGGTAGTTGCTCGACCATGATTGAAGTGACTATTCAATCGATACACAAGCTCAGCAAGGTTGGAATCCACCAAACCCAAAACAAGTCGCAACTTGCACAAACCAAACGGTATCTTTTCTATTCAATCAACTCTGAATTTTACAACGAAATAGAACGGTATTTAAAGGCAAATAAAACCTAATACAATCATAATAGAAGTAGAAAACAATTAAGGTAAAATTCTACACTAAAAAGGACATAAAATTCGGGTTTAAACTCTCTTTCTTCAAGTGCAAGTAAGCTGCCAGCAAAACAGTCAAAAGGCAGCTTTCGTACTAACTTCGCGCCTTTCGTTCGAGGCCTTCCCAAATTCCAATCTTTCATCCAATTCCTTCCCTTTGTTCACAAACATACCTAGTTTCATTTTGTGGAAGCCTTTTGACTTGAATCCCATCCATGCTCCTTGAGTTGAGCTCCAAAGTAGGCCTCACAGAACAGTTTTCTGCCTTAGTCATTTTCTGGCAGTTTTCCAGTTTTGAGGTAGCAACTTTGAGGCCTTGGAAAACAACCTTAATGACATCATTTGAATCCATCAAGCATACCATTGGATAGATGGAAACTTTATCTGCAAAACGAATCCTTAAGACTGAATTTCCATCGAGCCAATTGCGAGAACCATGCCTCCAAAGTATGTACCTTGACACTGTTCCAACACTTAACCAAATTCTGCCCTTCTTCTTCCCAACTTTGATAGCTTCTTTGTCAAGTAATTGTGACGTGAATTGTGGGCAATTTGGGATCATATCAACGAGTCCTTGGTTGTGAATAGTGTGAGTCCCTTTATCCATGAACTGACTGTATACCCGACCGGGTATTCTGACTGGGGATCGCGAACGCAGGCTATTAAAAGCCTGTTTTGTGCCTTTTTGCGAGGGAGAGCTGGGTTTTGGATTCCAAACACCCAAGGGACGAACCAAAGAGAGGGAGAGCTGGGTTTTGGATCCCAAACACCCAAGGGACGAACCAAAGAGAGAGAGGGCGATTTGAGGGCATTTTAAGAGTGGAATTGGAGGGTTTCTTTGCCTTGGAAGCTCGAGGAACAAGCCCAGACTTGAAGACTGATCATCTGAAGATTCTTACTGCAGTCTCTCTCTTCTCTATGGAGTAACTTCCCTTCACTTAGGTTTTGAGGAACCCTAGCTATGTTTGTTTGATTGGATGATTGTATGAGTATTCCTACTTGATAATCTTGAGTTCATATTCAATCTATGCACGTTTTCATGATTCAATTCTGCTTCAGTCGAGATTATTGATTCTGCTTTGATCCTATGAGAGCGAATACCTAATTAGGTCAATAGAGCACCATAGATTGATAGTATTGGATCGATTGCTTTAGTCGAGGGTTGATTCACTGCTTTGTATCGATCGAGAACCTCATTCGATAGAGGGAGTCTAGTTCAGAACGCCTTGATCGATTGTTCTAGAGAAGGATACATCCCTCTAGGCAATCGACTCAAGAGGGCATTGATCCTTTAGTCGAGATTCAAGGTCTAGTCAAGGATTCTCTGCATTGTGAATGAAAGTGAAACAAGTTAGAAATCATCAATCATTAATCTGGCTAGTGGCTAGGGGGAATCATACCTAAGTGAGTTCCCAACCTATAATTAGATTAACTTTAACTGTAGTTTGTTAGAGTAGTTTTAGTTGTTCCATCTTAATCTGGTTTGCTAGATAATGAACTGAAGCTGAGTAATAGTAACTCTACAGACTCGTGGATTCGATATTTATTATTTGAGCTACTATATTGCAGTCTCTTTCATTGGTTACACTTGGCCATTGTTAGGAGTTGTGTCATAGCGAGTCTATTGGATTAATATTCTTGATCTAATGTGTGAGATTATAATTTGCTCGCTTTTTTCGAGGGAGGAATAAATGTTGAATTATTTGTAAAATAGAAAAAAAAGGACGGAATTGCTGAAGAAGAGGGGATTCTAGCGCTCTGGGTTTAGGGTTTAGAAAAAACCATTTTCATCTAAACACAGAGGAAGAAACAGAGAATCAATTGTTTCTCCAAGACCTTTCACAGACAGATCATCCCATCATGAAGAGAGCTTCCGTTTCCCTTCTCTCTCGTCTCACCCTGCCACGGCCCAAAACTCTGTCCCCTCTGCTCTCCAGAGACTATGTCTCCGACTCATCTCCTTCTTCTTCCTCTCTCCACTCCTCGGCTCACCATCTGAAGCCTTGCCCCAAAACCCGAGGTCTGCTCATAAAATCTCGTTTCCTAGTCAACCCATCGCGGAACATCGACACCCTCGTCGAGTTCCCACCGCCGCCCATCTCGTCGAGGCAGAGGAAATTGCGAGAAAAATCACAACTTGAAGATGCCCTGGAGTCCGCCGACACAGTTGCGGAGACGCTCAAGGTTTTTGAAGAGATGGAGGCCTCTTTCGATGAGCGAGACCTCGGGTTGCCGGCACTGAAAGTCGGGCTTCAACTTGATCAGGAAGGTGATGACCCTCAAAAGACCTTAGCTTTTGCTACTAGGGCTTTAGAACTCCTGGATAGAGACGATAACAAGAACTCTTTCTATGTCTCCATGGCCCTGCAGTTAATAGGCTCGGTGAGCTACAGATTGAAACGGTTTAGTGATAGTTTGGGGTACTTGAGTAGGGCTAATAGGATGTTAGTTGGATTAGAGGAAGAGGGGACTGCTAATGCTGAGGACATCATGCCTTTGAGGCACGCCGTGTTGCTTGAGTTGGCTAATGTGAAGACAGCAGTTGGGCGGAGAGAGGAAGCGCTGGAGAATCTCAGGACTTGCTTAGAAATCAAAGGGGTGATTCTGGACAAGGACAGTAAAGAGTTTGGTGTTGCAAATAGGGATTTAGCCGATGCGTATGTTGCCGTGCTGAATTTCAAGGAGGCCTTACCATTTGCCCTAAAGGCGTTGGAGATACATCAGAATGGATTAGGGAATAACTCAGTTGAGGTTGCACATGATAGGAGACTTCTTGGAGTCATTTACAGTGGATTGGAGGAGCACGAGAAGGCGCTAGAGCAGAATGAGTTGTCACAGAAGGTGCTAAAGAATTGGGGTCTCACTGCCGATTTGTTGCGTGCAGAGATTGATGCTGCGAATATGCAGATTGCATTGGGAAAATATGATGAAGCTATCGGTACGCTGAAGGGCATTGTGCAGCAGACTGAGAAGGATAGTGAGAATCGTGCCCTTGTGTTTATCTCAATGTCGAAGGCATTGTCTAGTCAGGATAAATTTCCAGATGCAAAGAAGTGTCTTGAGATTGCTCGTGGCGTTCTCGAGAAAAAAGAACGAGTTTCTCCAGTTGAAGTTGCTGAGGCATACTCTGAGATAGCAATGCAGTACGAGAACATGAATGAGTTTGAGAATGCAATATATTTGTTGAAGAGAACACTCTCCTTAATTGAAAAGCTCCCACAAGAGCAGCACTCGGAAGGCAGTGTGTGTGCTCGAATTGGATGGTTGTTGTTGTTGACTGGTAGGGTTACCCAAGCAATTCCTTTCTTGGAGACTGCTGCCGAACGGTTGAAAGAGAGCTTTGGGCCCAAGCATTTTGGAGTGGGATATATCTACAACAATTTGGGGTCAGCATACATGGAATTAGATAGGCCGCAGTCTGCTGCACAGATGTTTGCAGTTGCCAAGGACATCATGGATGCCGCACTTGGCCCTCATCATGCTGATTCAATCGAATCTTGCCAGAACCTCTCAAAAGCCTATGCTGCAATGAAAAAGTAAGAATATATGTTTGCTTTCACCTTTGATCCCTCAAAGATTGGTTTGCTTGAACCCTTTCGTGTTGGTATATTATTGCAGCTATGGTCTCGCGATTGAATTCCAGCAGCGAGTAGTTGATGCATGGGAGAGCCATGGAATCAATGCAAAGGATGAACTCGAAGAAGCTCGTCAACTGTTGGAAGAGTTGGAGATGAAGGCTCTAACGGGATCCACGAGCCAACTCCCCAGAAAGGCCTTGCCCCTGCCTTCTGCTTAACCAAAGGCGTGCAGGCGCAACATACTCGGTCTTTCAGACTATGCATTTTATGGTGAGCGTTGCATCGTTGTTATTTGGTTACTTCTAATCCTATACAGTATGCGCAAACTCCCGTCATGTCCTTGGTTGAGCTTGAATCAATTGGATGAAAGTCGGGATCTTTTGGATACATTTGTGGGCGACAAAATGACTAATGTATTCTACTTTAAGCAATGAATGTCATCCTTCATCAAGGACCTATCGAGGTGTTTTGTACGTGTGAGAAAGACAATGTAATTAAAGCTAGTTTCCTCTCTACGTTTTTGTATTAGACATTTTTCAGACCCACCACTCTTCCTTACTTACTAGGTGGTTGACAAAGGAAAGCAAGTAACTTTGTCTAAATGCAACAGCTAGAATCGAAATTCCGTGTTCCTTGTTCTCACCACTGAATGTAGTGAACTCATTCAGTACCCTAAGAATTACTTCACCAGGTGGTTGGCTATTCTGAAAATACTCCATGCAGTTTGATTCGGCTGTGTCCTTTGTGCCTATCCTTTGTCAAACCGATTCATTGCATTATGCTAGTTTTGGCCAGTGGAATGGCACAATTGAATGTATAATTGACCAGTGGAATGGCACGATTGAATGTATAATTGAGTTATATTGGTTATGGCGATATTTTATTTTATATACAAAGGTGATATAGTTTTTTTTTTTTTTTGATTAGGTACTACTTCAAAGATCAAACCTAAGATCACGTTCAAAACTAGTGGTATTACCACTAGAAAAGTAAAATCCATCAATAATAATAAATTACTTAGGAAGAAGCAACTAAAAGAGTTAATTCACATAAAATAATTTATAATTATGGATTGCCAACTTATAGTAACAACTATGCAATAAAAAATAAAAGTCTATAAAATGAATTTTATTAATATTTACTATGATTTATGTAAAATACAACATTAGTTATATTATATAAGGTTAGTACGGTTTTCAAAGTTCATTGTAGCCTATTATTGGTGTATAATTGAAACTAGTTAACATTAGCTACTTGGTTCTAATCCTATTATGAATATTTATTATATTTAAAGGACACGCGCGAAAATACTGAAATCGAGTTTCTGCTCTGTGGTCGATTTTGGTTTTTTTCCAAATTTGATTGACATTGAATACCTGTCTTTCCACCCAATTTAGACCAGTATCATCAGTTATACCCGATTGAACCAGATGGTAAAATGCCGACGTGACAACTATCATCGCAGTTATAGATGACTTCTATTTGAATGTATTCGGTAGGTTCATCTGCTCATTACAAGCATTTGAGTTGTAGCTAGGGCTAGGGCACTTGTCGGCAGGATTTGTGACACACTTGGGGACAAAAGAATGTGGTAATGAATGGATCACTGCACGCCACTCTTTCTTGATGGTGTTCAATTCATTCATGTTTGGGAAATGTCAGAATCTGAATAAAGAGAAATTAGGTTTTATCGAAATTTGAGTGAGTCGGATGTTTTTTTTTAAGACGTTTGTAACATTGTCTCTTTGCGCATAATAGATTATAAGACGATTGCCTCCAGGACAAAACAACCTTTTTTGTTGCTTGGCACTTTTGTGTGACACCGAAGCTCTTTGAATTGCACTCTCCCTCGTGAGTTTGCTCTTCGAGTTGGTATGTTTAGAGGGTCTGAGAGGTTAACTATTTATAGGAGCCGTGACCCTCAAAATAATTCTCTTTCATGGGAATTAAATCACGCTTAATTAAGAGATAAATGCCGCGTTAATTAAAATGCGTATGTTGAGAGAATTATCCACCAAATTATCTCTCGAATATTCCTTTAATTAATTATTCTCATTTATGTTTCCGTGAAGGACACGAAATAATTAAGTTTGGAATCTCCAAAAACCATTAGTCCCAAGTTGAACCACCCACTCACTCGGTCTGTTGGGCAGTCGGACAGAGAGACGTTGCATGTGCGCTTTGTGGGTCATCTAGTAGGTCCTCCCTCTCCCATAAAAGTGGGTCATTCCAAGAGGTATGCCCCTTAGAGAGAGAACCCAATTTTTTTACTCGTTTGGTAAGAGTTCTCCCACCAATGTGGTATTCTTGTGACATGTAGCTTGCAACGATATTCACCATTTCCAACAGGGAATACCTTAAAATGGAGGCCAAGTTTTTTAGAAATGTCTATCATAGCCTGAACTATTACTCAAAATGACTGATTATAATCCTAGTGTGTACATTAAGTTAAACGGTCAACACCGTTTACTAATAGTCAATGAGCCATGTCACTACCATATAAGCATAAATAAACATATAAAGCTATACCCAAAAATATTTAAATAAAAATACAGAAATGATAAAAATTAACTCGTCCTGATCAAACCAGACTCCCTTTATTGGATTGAAATCCAATACAAATTAGCGATTTCACTCACTCTCGTGTAATTGATCCTCTACTTCTAATAGATGTTTGCTCTATCAACTTATTAAGATATTCTCCTAGGTCAAAATAGAAATCATACGAATGTGATTAAGGCTTAAACAATTCAAGAAACATGTATGACCGAATATAAACTACAAATTCAAATGAATCATAGTATTATACAACCATCATACCAACAAGCAAGATTAGGGTTCCTCATACTCAAATGAGAAGAGAGATTGCTCCATAGAGAGAAATGAATAAATATGAAAGGAAAAACAACCTATGACAACAGATATCATACTGTAGTCTTCAATTTCTTCTTCCCAGCTTTTACCCCAAGCTCCAATAGGGAATAAATTGCTAATCTTTGCTCCAAGAACTCTAAAAAATCATGTTCTCTCTAGGGTTCATCAATGCCTCATTTTCTCCCTCTAAAAGTGTTTATCTTCCAAAAACCAGCTTTCATCTACTAAAACTTGCACAGACTTGAAAACACGACCTCCAGCTCTTGAAATATAATTGTGTTTTCCGATCCAGCGCGTATTGATTCAAACGGTATCGTGCCATTTACAGGCCAAAAACACTACCTCTTTTCCTGAAACGCGATAGTATTTTTCCAGAAGAGATTGCATTTTTTACTGCTCTACTGCCCAAATTTCACGTGCAGCTCTTATGATGAGCCACGACCATGATTCCAAATAATATGGTTGTGACTTTGTCTTTTGATCCTCCTCGGTCCCTTTTTTACCTCCAAATGCCCCGAAACTAGCTTCCTAGCATTGTGTATACACTAGGGCTTGAAATATGCCATAGAAGGACAACCTGGAGTAAAGTTGGATATAGAGAGTGATTTGAAGATAAATGACCAAGAAACGATAACAAAACAAGGGATAAAACACGTATAATTCACCACGTATCACCTACAATGATCACATAGGAGTGGTTGCTTCCTCTGAGAACTCTTTCTCATATTTAGTTTACATTGGTACTGAATCCTTATGCTTTGAAAGGAACTAAGGATAGATCTCGATTTTGGGTTATCGTTTGTGTTATTTTGTGCAATCTACTACAAAATGTGTGAGTTAACTTGCAATTAATAGCATTTTAATAGAGACGTAACATTAAAATGCTTCTGCTATTCTTCTAGAACATGACAACCCTCATAGTGTCATATTGATGAAATTCCATTTCGATTAACACCTCAACCAAATTGATTGGGTGATGTTGCTTGATACGGTCGATCTCAGCCTGGAGGGTTTTGATGTTTCGCAATGAATTGGTATTCCACGCATTGCTCCAGTCATACAGAAAATGGCGTAGATTTTTCAGCCGGACCGAGAGTTGGTCCATAGGGGACCCATGAAAAATCCTCTTGCCAAACATAGTTCACCATAGCCCTTACCTCCGGATTATCTGCCCAATGAGCATCAAATCAGAAAAGGGGACGAGTATTTCAGATGTAGGGTTGATCAGCTAAGAGAAGGGCTCTATGATCAGACCCCTGATCCATGAAGTGTTTGACCAAGGAATCTGGGTATCTTTCAATCCAGGCCTGGGAGTAAAGTGCCCGATCCAGCCGCTCACGAATGCAAGACGCAACCATCCTCTTGTTCGTCCATGTGAATTGATCACCCTGATAACCAGGGTCATGGAGACCCAAATCATGCACAAAATTGCTAAGAGCCAGCGCTTGACCCATAATCCATGGATTACCACCATCTTTTTCACTGGCATGAAGCATAGAATTGAAGTCTCCAATGACTACGTATGGCAAGTCAATCGCACCGTAAGTGTGACGAAGCTGGTCTAGCTGATCAAATCTCATTGCCTCATTACAAGTCCTATAAACATAAACCACGACGTAAGAAAAATTGCCTTCATTAACACGAATACAAATGAAAAAGTTTGAATGGGAAAACACCGAAGCATCAACTCAGGGGGACCAAGCTACAACTAGACCTCAAGATGCATTAACAACATCGGAAAAAAAACAATTAGAATAAGAAAAACCTAAACACCTCATACAATGAGAGACGACTCTCCAGCTCGATTTTGTTTCCGAAAGGAAGACAAGGTCCGGTTTATTAGGATGAACCAAGCCTAAAGCAATTTGAAATGTGAGGGAGGGTCCAATTCCTCTCACATTCCATGCCAATAGCTTCATTTATTCGCTTGTTGGCTTCCTCCAGGTGTTTTTGCTCCTTATCATCAGTATCCTCCACACATTGTTTCTTCGCCGAGTGATCCTCAGCAATCTCCCCAGAAAGTTCATGTAATGCACGCTTGCGACCTCCAATACCTGGGACAGTAGCATTAGTGCTATATTCATCAATAAGGAGATCAGACTCCTTCCCGGCTAGGTGAATCCCTGATCCAACGAATCTATTGGTCAAATGCGCCCCAGCCTCATAAGCAAGGACCACCTGGTGAACTCTACCAGGCTTTCGGGATAGAGCACATGTCTGGGTCAGGCGCGAGGAACCATGTGTCATGAATGGCTCGCGAAATTTGAATTCATACTGGTTCTCACCCCCATCCGAGAACGTGGCGTCAGAGTCGACCATAACTTGGTCACCCACGCGATCCTCCTCCCTTCCACAAGTAGGAACAGTCGTGGATGGAGGTAGAGGGGAGAGGCTAGCCTCCAGTTCAACATTTAGCTCCGGTTCCCATTCTTCAAAGTCCTCCTCCGCCTCCAGCATTTGCCTTTTGCCCTTGAGGCCTGCCCGCTGCTTAGCAGACATCTCCAGGTCTTCCACTTTGACAACTCGAACGCCACCCTCCCGAGCAAGCCTTTGCATGGCTGGGACGGGGCTCGAGTTATCTAAAGGCGGGTCAAATGTCAAATCCTACTGGGGAATAGTCATGTGTCAATGTGACCCACCATTATGAACCGCGTGATGCATGACATCACTTCTAGGCTCCCGTTTTGTCCGAGTCTCCACCACAGGCAGCTCCTCATCTGAATCCTCAAGCACCAACCCACTACAATGAGGCTGACTCCCCTTGCGTAGTGCCACCACCTGTCTCCTCCTGGCCCCTTCCTTCGCCAACCTCCTGCTAGTTGCATGCTCGTCCCTTGACATCTCGTGGGAATGGGCCTCCCCAGGATGCTCCCCGGAATCCGTAGCAACTTCGCTTGAGCTGGCGCGCCTCATGGGACGATTAGGGTGGAGCTTGGAGCTTTGGACACAACGAATCCCTTCGGGCTTCTTCCTTTCCCAGCATGGCGACCTTCCTCCGGGCGGATTGGTCGTGAGTGCTCACCATGCAGCAGGGTGCGAGTGGGAATAGGCTATGCCGGAGCACCCTTCTTCATCGCCATGTCCCGCGTGAGTTTCCGGGGAGAGTCAGGTGCATCTTTCCTTAGTGCACGCAGTTCTCTATTAACCCAAATAGTGGGTGGGTTTCCCCAAAGGCGGGTTGTCCTCCTCCATGATGTAGAGTCGTGTCCCCGACTTCTTCGTCGACATGTGTGGACCAAAGCGTTCTTTCCCTTTCGGTGGGTCAAACGAACACTACCCCACGCAAATGACCAACCTACCACAATGAAAACAGAAGCTCGGGAGATGCTCGTATTTTCGAGACACCCAGAAGCATCCCATTTCATCATTGGCCACCATTAGCTGAGAGCGCAACGGCTTGGTGAAATCGATTAGGGTCCGCACCTTCACAAAGCATTGGTTCGAATCCTGGCACACAAACACTCCTGATTCAAGAACACGCCTGATAGTCTCAGTTATTACTTTTTGTCCAAATTGTTGAGTGCAAAAATCCTCCTTCACATCCCATAACTGCACCCAAAATGGGACAACAACCAAATCATCAAACACTTTCTTGTTGATGATGGGAGTCCATGCTCGGAGGTAGAGGATTTTTATCCTGAATCACCCACGGCATACGGTTCAACACCCATTTCTTTGAAGCTTCATTGGGAAGGAAGAATTCGAATAATCCGTGTTTAGCTTCCATAACTCGAATCCATGGCACGTTGACCGCATATCTCAACACTGCCGGTGTCAGCTTGCTATTCGTGAATAATCTCCCCAGCACCGATTGGGAGCCACGGAATTTTGCAGATGGTACTTCCTCCATCTAGAAGCTCACCACCTGATCCTCGGTCACTCGTGCCCTAACTATATCCTACATATCATAGCATGGATTAGTTTGTAGGCTTCCTACAAGTGCTATCCGATCTTTCGTACTAACCGCACCCATATTCAGGGAGGCAGAGGCTGGCAAATTGAAAGTACGACGCGGAACAAGAGGTATAACTGGGGAACACGAGTTCAAAATCACAAGGGACACGTTATCAGATAAACTCTTACCATATTTGGGACCCTGCTTAGAACAAAATGCTCTATTTGCTGCCGCCACCCAATACAGTCCTCGTCGAGAATTATTTGTGCGAGAAGGAGGATGGGGTAGGGGCAATAAATAAGTTGGCGGATGCCGTCCAATGGTCAGAGTCCCAGCTAGGCTGGAAACCTTCAGAGATTGGGTAGGAGTGTTCCGTTTGATTTGAAAATAAGAGTGAGAAAACCCCCAATTCCTGGATGCAATATCCTGGGCTAACAAACTACCCATATCGCAGGGCGTACCGGAACGCCAAATTCTAGGCAGGTTTCTCGGTTTAACATTTGAAAGACTCATCGGTGGCGATGACATGTGCCGAGACCCTAATGTCTTAAACAATAGTTTCTGGCGACTGGCGAGGCCTCCCATGAGGACATCATTGCACTCGTTAGCCGTTGGTCGCTAAACCTCCTTGGTGAGGCTGGCTGTCGGCCTGCCAACCATGGCAGCAGGAGCCCGGATTTCCTCCGACCCGACAACCGCATATAAATCTTCTTCAACATGTAGTGAAAAGCGACAAAACTTTCTTTAGCACTCGAGCCCTCTTGGTTCGAGGCATGATATCCACCGGGAGAGGGCCCCATTTTCTTTTTCTGATGTTTTCGGCAGCATCACTAGCTAACCGTGCGTTTCTTTTACGGACCTGGACACCATGACGGTGGAAGCCTTGGTTGACCTTTACTCGTTGTTGTTGAGGCTCTCTTACAACTTGGATGGAATCCTGTTCCGTTGCACTTCCTCAAAGCCATTGTTGATTGTTGAGACTGACCTACAGAAGCACGATGAACGCGTTCACCAGGAAACACCCAACAATCCGCCCTATTTTGAGGAGAGAGGAGAGAGATCCTCTCATAATTTCTCCCCCCCTGTTTCCTCGATAACACTATAATGCTCACATGGCTACTTAAAGATAAAGATTACGGATGGCAATTTCAAATATACAGTTATGCTCGTGGTTTTTTAGTATCCAACTCAATTCGGTTGGGTATGAAATTAAAATGGATGGTAAATGTGTAAAGTTTTATGAGTTTGTACACATACCCATTTAAGTTTGTACCCATACCCATTTGTAAATTACAGTTTGGTACCAAAACTTAATAGATTTTTAGATTAAGTACCTAAATTTAATTCTTTTTGCATATAGGCTGCAAAATATCGACGAAAAATTACAACCTAATTTTTTTGTATTACATTTTGGTACCTGAACTTTTTAAATTTTACAAATAGGTCCAATTTTGTATGCTTAGTTAAAACACCCTCAAATAAATAGGTATCCATATCCAACCCATACCCATTTAAAGTATGGAAGCTATATCCATATCCTACCAACCCATCTACAATCCCCAAACCCATATATACTTTCCTCATACCCTACCCATTAATCTATTTGGGTTTGGGTTAAATTACCCATGGATGGGTAATTACCATCCCTAATAAAGATGGTCGCCCCACCAAGGCGTTTCAATGGTGACATCTTTATCAATAGTTTATATATGTTTCATCCATGGATGGGTAATTGCCATCTCTAATAAAGATGGCCGCGCCACCAAGGTGTTTCAATGGTGACATCTTTATCAATAGTTTATATATGTTTCATCAAGGGGGTATCTTAAAGGGTGATATCTTGTTGAGGGATTTTTGAATCACATTGCTTTTAATCCTAAACACATATTCATCTATGTGTGGTTTGATTAAAAGCTCCTCATTGATATGCATAGGAGGTGATTGTTCATCCATGTATCCCTACACATCAATCTATGTGGAATTTAAATTGTGAACAATCTCGAATGGACACATAAAACTCTATACAAAGGCAACCAATTTCCTCTTTGAAGATTTGATGGTTTTCAATAGCAAAACTTTTATACTTAGTGTTGCAAAGGGCCCTCTAGTTCATTGCATTCAAAATCGTGATTCTATGTAGAAGCGTTTTGGTGATCTAGAAGTGTCAAAATATAAGCTTTAAGTTTTAAAGCATAGATTTTGACTAAAATTGTAAGTGATAAGTGTGATTTTATGTAGAAGCATTTTGGTGACCTAGAAAAGTAAAAGAGTAAGTTTTAAATTTTTAGGTTTAATTCCACTAGGAAGCCCAAACTATTTTAAAACTATCATTTGTGTGCTAAACTATTAAGTATGACAATCTGGCATAAACTATGTGTGTTTTGTGACATTTGTGTCCTATACTATTCAATTATGACAAATCTGGCACAAAACCACATAGATGTTGACTAGATTTTATATTAAATACTATCAGTCAACGTCGGTCAACATTATAGAAAAATAGTTTGTGCCAGATTCGTCATATTGAATAGTTTAGGACACAAATGTCACTTTTTGAATAGTTTGGTCTTCCTAGTGGAATTAGACCAAAGTTTTAAAGCACGATTTTGACTATATTGCTCTAGTAAGGGCACTTAGGTGTTATATGAGATCAGATAATGGTCTAGGTAACCATTTGTGGATTATCTCTCTCGTGCGTGTTGTGATTTCGTTCTTGTTTCCTTTCCTTTCATTATTAACATCATCTTTATCTTTCAAATAGGAAGTAATATCAATTGTCCTCTATGGTTCATTTTAATGAGGGTTTTGGTTTTGAGAGATTATGCGAGAGGTGCGCCCAAATTGCTCACTTGAAAAACAAGATAAATTGTATAAGGGGTTTGGTCAAATAGCTTGTTTGTTTACACGTATAGAATTTGTGCCCAAAGCATTTATAAACAATAACCCCTTCATCATCCTTCACACTCTTCGTCTTTCTCCATTGCAAAATTCAATACTATAAATCCGGCTTCCCATTTTCTCACAATTATTGATGGAAGTTCCCGACTCTGCATAGACCTATTAGATCCATGAGAAGCCTAAACTGATGCAAATCATCAATGAAGCAGAGATAGAAGACCTCCAATAGGGAGTTAATTGGCTCGGTGATCCAGGATGTAGAAGTAGAAGCACTTTGACGAGATTTGGTCCTAGGTTGTCCACCTCCAACCGAGAAGCATAATATGCTCGATAAGCTCAACCACGACTTCGAGTGCTACGACCGCGTTCTTGAGGAGATTTTTTGGCTTAAATAGGAAATTTCCAACCTGCACCAGATGCTTACTGAACTCGTTGTTGTTTGATTTTATTTATTGGCTTTGTAACTTCATCTTCCATCAGATGGGATTGGAGGGCTAGATCTGTCCTCTTGAGAGTTTGATCTTTATCCTCAATCTTTAACACACATTCGTGAGCATCTTGTGAGCCTATTAACCCACTTAAGTCAAACTTAGCAAAATCTTTTGGTTCTTCTAAAGTTGTTGCCTTTGGTCTCCGAGATCTTGGTAAGGAGTTTAAAATCTTGCTAACTAAGTCTGCACAGTGTAAACTTTTCCAAGAGTCATTAATCCATTTACTATATTTGTGAATCTTTCATACATTTAGTAATGTTTTCATTTTCACTGTTTTTAAATAATTCAGGTTCTCTGACTAGCATTATAATCCCGGTGTCTTTAACTTGAGACATAACTTCATATGTAGTCTCTAGAGTGTCCCAGATACCCTTTGTGGTTTTTGTACATGGCTACATTGCCATATTCTTCTCTTCCAAAAACACATTTAAGAATATGCTTAACTTTAGCATTGATTTGTAGACTTACCATATCTTTTTCTGACCAAATCCCGAGGTCATTCTCACCTTGTTTCAATCTTAATTTTGATATTGATCTACACCTTCATATCATAGGGCTTGTAGCAAGTCTTCCATGCAACCTTTTCAAAGGCATAGTTCTTGTCGTAGTGTTTTGGTGGTCTTCTTGAA